TGGGGTAAGGAAGAACAGCAGAGATGCTAAGGAGCAGGCAAACTACGATGCCATTAGCGTGTCTTGTGCATGTGCGTGCAAAGAGAAAGCAGCATCTGAGTTCATGTGTTAGGATTTCCCTTCTCCCTCTGGAGCAGGGGGAAACAGTAACTCCATGAGCGTGAAACATGTCATCCCCTGTTTGCCCCTAGCTCTGCTGATGGACAAGTGGCCTTCACTTTAACACACTGCTCCATAGCAGCCATATCCAGCATTCCCCTGCTCCTGCTCCAACCCCTCCAGCCCTGCTCCTGCTGCAGCATGTGCCTTGCAAGGACTCAGCCGTCCCCCTGTGCTCTCCTGAATACTCATCAGCCCTCCCCGCTGCATCCCCATTAACACTGCTGGGGCTTGTGTGGCGGAAGCACTGATCTCCATGGTGGTGGTGACACAACGCACACATGGTGCCATAAATTCAACTAGGTTGGGAAAGACCTTTAAGATCATCAAGTCCAAGCACCACCCCAGCACTGCCAAGGCCACCACTAACCCATGTCACCAAGGGCCTCATCTACATGGTTTGTGAATGCTTCCAGGGCCTGGGCAGCCTGTTCCAATGCCTGAGCACCCTCTCTGTTAAGACATTTTTCCGAATATCCAATCTAAACCTCCCCTGGCGCAGCTTGAGATCGTTTCCTCTTGTCCTATTGCCTGTTCCTTGGGAGACCGACCCCACCTCACTACACCCTCCACTCAAGCAGTTGCAGTGAGGTCCCTCCTGAGCCTTCTCTTCTTCCAGACTAACCCTTCTCCAGGTCCCTCAGCCCTTCCCCATCACACTTGTGCTCCAGGCCCTGCTCCAGCTCCGTTGCCCTTCTCCGGCCCCGCTCCAGCACCTCCATGTCTTGTTGCAGCGAGGGGCCCGCAGCTGAACACAGGACCCGGGACCCGCCGTCACCAGTGCCCGGGGCAGGGGGAACTCCTCACACAGAGACCGCGCGCCTCACGCACACCACGCGCCCCGCGCACCCTGCGCGCTCATTGGCCACGAGGGGAAGGAGGCCCCGCCCCTCCCGGCTGCGCGTGCGTGCGTGCGTAACCGGGGAGAAAGCACGGGGTGGGGGGAGGGGGGCAAAGAGGGGGATAAGGGGTTTGGGGTGGGCAGCGCGCGCGGGGTGAAGGGGCGGGGATTGGTTGCCATGGCAGTGACGTCAGAGTGTGCCGGGGACAGGGAGCGGAGACACGGAAAAGGTCAAAGTAAAGGCGAAGGAGGAGACGCGGCCGAGCGGGAGCCGAGCGGAGCGGAGCCGAACCGAACCGAACCGAACCGGGGCCGAGCGGGAGCCGAGCGGGAGCCGAGCGGGAGCCGAGCGGAGCCGAACCGGGGCCGAACCGGGGCCGAGCGGCTCCGCGGGACCCGGTGCTGAAGTGAGGGCGGCGGCCGCCAGCGGGGGGCTGCGAACGGGCCGGGTGAGGTAACCCCACCTCCGGTGCGCCCCCGCCGCCTCCCCTCGCAGGTACGGGGAGCTCCGCGGTGGGGTCGGGCTGGGGCGGGGGGCGCAGGCCGCGGTCTCGGGTGGAGAGGGGACCAGGGCCGAGCTGGCGGCGGTGGGGCGGGAGGGTTGGGGGCCTGCAGCCGCCATCGGGGGCTGGGGGTGAGCGGGGGGACCCCGCGGGGAGCTCCGCGCCCTGCACCGCGCCCCCCGCACCGGGGGTCGCTTCCCCACCTCACAGTCCTTGGGGGCTGCGCTCTCCGTCCTCTCCTTCGGCCTCGCTGATGGGAACAGAACTTGGGCGCTTTTCTTATTGCTTATTTTTAGGGGGAGAATAAGGGGGGGGGGGGGGGGATGTCTGTGGGGAGCTCTGCCCCCGCCCCGGCCCCAGCTTTGCATAACTTGTCTCCCCAGTTGACTTGTTTCCTCCCTGCACTTTGCCCTTGCCCGGTGGTCTGTGCATGAGGGAGTAGAACTATTCAGGGACTGGGTTTTGTCTCTTTAGTTAGCTGGATTGCAAACAAGGCATGTCACTTATTATATCTCTCTCTATGTATATATAGCTATATATCCCCTTTTTTCCTCCAGCAGCCCAGTGCTGAAGCAAGATTCTGAGCTAGCACAGAACAAGGCCCTTGGGCTTGATATTTTTTAGCAAGCCCTGGAGTGAAGCTGCTATTTAGCATGTGGAGTTTGAATGCCACAGGCAGTCTGTTGTCTCTTCATGCTCAAAGAATAATTCAGAGGAGCAGCAGTGACTCATTAATAGAAAGTATTAGTTGCATGAAGGCAAACCCAGGTGAAGTTTCTTACTTTACCACAGACCTACTCTGTGACCTTGGCTCAGTCCTTCTGCATCAGCCCTCTGTTTGCTTATGAATCAGGAACAGTGGTGCTTTCCAAAAACATCCTGTGAATAAACATACTAATGGCTGTGAAATGCTTATCTGCTGTAGTAATAACAGGTAGATAGAGATACGATTTTTACTATAGGAGGATGGAGGCTCTAGCCAGGATGCACGTGTTTTGCTTGCAGAATTTCTCAGTAGTAGCTGCACTTTGGAAGCAGGCACTTGCTTAAAAGGATGTTTAATAACCTGTAATATTGCATGATCTGCGCTGTGGTCATCTCACTCTTCATAGATTTATGGAGAGTATGTGCTAATATGCTTTCAGGGAGCTTCCATTTCATCCTTCAAATAGTTTGTGTATGCTTTTTCCCTTCTGTTTGCCTAGAACAAAGCTGGTGTCCTCTTCCACAGCTGAGGAAACCTTATGAATCCCTAATGTGGCTGATTATCTCTGATAGTTGGCACCTCTGAACTAGACACAGTGTTTTGGTAGGGAACCGCAAGAGAGCGAGAGGAATTCTTATGTACTTGCTGTGATGAAGAAATTACTTCTGGCACTGGTTTGTAGCTTACTGCGATAGCGTTGAGTGGTACTTGCCAGGGTTGGGTGGTTGTGTTAACTCCAAGCTGTCTCAGAGTGCCTCTGTATTTGCACAGAAAAGCTCAAGGGAGTGACAGTGAGTTCATTACACGTGTAATGAAAGGAGAAACCGTGTAGTTCAGGTTTAGGAACAGTATTTTCCCTCCCACTTTAATGCTCTTTGTAGAAAATCAAATGCCTTAAGTATGCCATAAATAAAAGCTACAATCCAGGAACCCCAGAACTGTGCAGGTGTTGAGGTTCACACACTGCTAGGAAGCAGTGTGCAGCCACTGCAGTAAGGGGTGAGAACAGCCAAGGATAGAGCTGGGAGTTGCTGCTGCTTCTGTGAATACTGACTTGAGTAAGCTTTACCTCTTTACAGTTTTACTTTTTACTAACTTTGCAGCTAGATTGTCTTCTTTTTATCAGTCTATTGTAGATGGATACATCAGGAAGCAGCATTGTTTGACTGCTATCTTAGGGGTTTTTTTGAAAGTAATTTGAGCTATAGTTTCTCACGGCTCTACTCAAGTTAATATGAAACTTCCATAATCGAGTTTTAACATTCAATAGGAAAGCTTTTATGTGTTGAGAGAGGAGGAGGTGCACACAACACAGTTTTGGGTTGTTTAGTTTGCTTTTTTTTTTTCCTTTTTCCTTAACAAAAACTGAAAGCTGTTCTGGTAAGATGGCAATTCATTGCTAATTCATAATATGTAGGTGCCCTGGAAAAATCAAATACCCAGTTTCAGAGCTACCCTTAGGCATCCTTAATTTATGCAAGCAGGGCTCACTGAGTAACTACTGTAAGTCTCATTGACCTTACTAGCTTTGTAGAGGTCATATTTTAAAACAGAGAAGTTGTGCTTGAACTATTTTTTCAGTAAGTATTAGGAGCAAGTACTTGTGTACAAAACTACTTGCTTTTTCCAGCTCTTCATTACATTTTTGGTTAGATTATTGTTTATAAGTGCTACAGTAAATCTGGTGTTTTCTTGTATTTTTTATTTCTCTCATCTTGCTATTAGGGAGAAAAACAAGTTTTTGAAAGCAAGTTCTTCTTTAAGATGTTGGTAAAACAAACTGTGAGGTTTTATGAACAGGGAGAAAGGCCAGTTCTAGGGTCAGAGAAATTTGGCCAGTGCCACCTGAACGTATCCGAGTGACATCAGCATTTTCCTGAGCCATTTCTGCTGTTCGCTTCTGTCGGTTCCCAGCAGTGCCTCATGTCTTATGTAAGCTCACACTGTACATCCTGTCCTGCTGTTCCCGTGCATGAGAACTCACTGGCGTTATCTTACTGTAGGCTTTGAGTGCTGAATAGTTACTGGCTGCTGCTTGTCTCAAATGTCTACATGCGAATTTCTCATGAGCATGCTGAAGGGATCTGTGCCAGGAGCGTAACGCTGTCCTCCTAGGAGACATCAGAGGAATAACTTGGAGCGAGACACAGCTCATCCCCCTGCCCGTTGGTAATGGGAACTGTAACCACTGTGGGGTAGCATGGCTCTGGAGATAATCATGAGAGAAAGGTTTTGCCTCAGTCTGTATCATACATACCTGGACTGCTAATGTAGTTTTGATGGCTGGTGATAAACCAGCCATAAAACTCAAAGGACTAAAGTTTCAGTAGAAGCTTCAGTAATACTAAGACTGCAAAATGAAGGCTTTTATATACTGTTACTGCCCTCCTCTTGTTAGTAGGTCTTTGAGAAGAATTGTGCCTTCAGATACTGATGCTATGAACTTGTTAGCATTTAGTCATGCATAATGAAGATGCTGTCACTTACTGGGTGAAATTGAAGCAAACCCTCGATTATCAGCTCTCAAAACCAAACATTTCTTTTGTTTTCCTTGCCTGCTACATCTAACTGAAACTTGCTGGCATAGAGTCCTGCAGTAACATAATGTTTATAGTTTAATTCTAAGTAAATCGGGCACTTCTTTGAACAGTATCTAATATGTCAGCTTGACATAATAAAATGTTTGTTAAATACACTGTAGGCTCTTTTGTTAGTGCTGTAGCAGTGTGGGGGAGCCACATTCCTTCTTACCTGTCTTGGAGAATGTGGTTGTCCTTGTGTGGCCCCTTGTGAGTGCTGATGTAGTGCAGTCATGTCCAGGGTGTGCAACTCTGCACATTCAAGATTTCATTACATTCTACTTTATTGCTTTCCAGATACTTATGTGAAGGTCCAAATCCACGTTGTTGTTATTCAATAGCCTTTTCAGTAGATAAAATGTATGCAGAAGGGAGGAAGGGTTGACGTGGAGGAGAAGCAAACCTGGAGAGGAGTGCGGATATGGCAGTAATGAAATCTTCCCTGTGACTTTCCACAAGTGATCTGTCCCATACTGCATGGAACAATTTCTCATTGTGATGGAGAAACAAGAGCAATATAAGACTTGACAAGGGGACTGGTTATCTGAAAAGGAGCAGGTGCAGTGCTTTGACAATTGAAAGCTAAACAAATTCCTGTAAGTGAACCCTTCTTGCAGAGAGAGTTTAAGGGTATTTATTGGCAGAACATCTAAGAGGGACTTGAGTTTTCAGGGAATTGAATTATCACTATTGCTTTTATCACACAAATCTGGGAATGCATGGGGTTTTTCTAGTGCTTTTGTTATTTTTGGAGGATATGCAAATCTCCTTTAAAACCATACGCAGGAAAACGGACAGCAGTGCTGTGGTACACATTTCAGAGACTTGTAGCAGCTGTAAGTAAACATCATAAAAATAAGAAATTACTTCAAAAGCAAGTGTAAACCTGGTAAAATAAATACATAAAACTTCAGAAGCACCTGCCTGTGTAGCACATTTGATTCCATTGCAGTCTGTTTTATTGCTTTACACATACTTATGTGAAGGTCTAGATACATGTTGTCATTATTCAATAGCCTTTTCAGTAGGTGTAGACAAGTAAAATGTAGCCCGGATGCTTAAATCTGCTAAAATATTTATAAGCAAGTTGGCTCTTGGAAAAAGTTTCCCACAGGATGCAGTGGGTGTCAGGTCTAAAGGTCAGTGGCAGACAAAGTGAAGTGAAGGCTCTTTTGGATTTATTTTTCTACTTTTCCAGAGAAGTCCTCCTTATGTCAAGGACTAAGAAATCTTTCTTTGTTATTTCCTAAATTTCCCAATGTTAACAGGCATTTGCGGGTTTGTGGTTTGTTTGGAGTTAAGTGTCTTGTTGAAAGCTGAATTTCTCTTTCTTTAAGGGGGGAAATGAGTGCAGTTAATATATTCATGAACTCTTGTAGCACGGAAGTTCCTGGTGTAAGTCAAAAAAGCCAGATGGAGTTTCAAGCGACTGTCATGTACAGCTTAGGAAACGAACATTCCTGATACTAATAAAAGGGCCAGATTGGAAGTACATAATTAATCCCAGTGTCCTTTTCAACACGTGATAAGATTTGGCTATAGTAGTTAATGGAGACAACTGTCAAGTTCTGTGAAGCAGTGGATTGTTTGCCTAAAATAAAAATACCTGAGTGCTTACTCCTCCATGTATGTGATGGTGATGAGTGCTCATGCTGCAGTTCAAATGGGAAAAGAAGCGTGAGTAGTGGCTGAGTTAGCCTTGAATAGATTTCCTGTCTTCAATATGTATGTAAAGATATAAATATTTAATATGCATAATATATCTGCATACATATTTTATGTATATAAATACACTTGAAGAAATAAGCGTATAGTGGTTTTTAAGTGTTACACTGCAAAACCTTCTCTCCGTTGGAGCTGATTTGAAATGCAATGACTGGAGAGCCACAGGAAACCATCTTGCAATTAAGTTTATTTGCTGTATGTATCAGTGACCTGGAAATAGTGTGCAGGAAGGTGCTAAATTAAAGCTTCTGTGATGGCACAGAGTCTATGTCAGAGACAGACAGGAGGAGGCACGGGCAGATGGCAGTCATTACAAAACAGGTGAATAATCAGATTGAGCAGAAGCTGAATAGGCTGTGCAAGTGAGTGTGCTGTTTGCATGCTGCTTTGGTTCTCGGTTAAAGTGATGGGGAGTTCTTCTGCTGTGATCTAGGAAACAGAGGGGTAGAAAACCTACCTGTAGCTGGAAGCGTGTATCATGGTGAAAGCACTGTCAGAGGGAACTTCTGGGACGAGTAGAAAAGTCAGTGCTTTCAGACCTGTGCACTGGAAATGTTATAAACCTCTTCAGCTTTGTAGACTTCAACTGCAAGTTTATTCAGCTCATGCATAACATGGAACAATACTGTAAAATGACCGAGAATCATAGTGCCTGGGGAGTACAGATACGTGGTATGACCATAAATATTTTTTAACAAGACATATTTGTGATGATCTATTTATATTGCATACTTTACGTAGTTTGTTGGAAAACATTTGGTAGCTGTCTGGCCTAGCTGTTCATGCCCTAGCTCAGTCATTGTTTCCAGGTTGTTGCTGGGAGGCACTGTAGGAGTGATGAAGGTAAAGAAGAACAAAGGGATGGTTGTGCTCATGAGTGAATGTTGTTAATACAATAGCAATCTGTCTTTCCTGTTTGTATTTCGTTCAAAATGTTCCTGCCTTTTCCTCTTTTAGCAAGTTCTGTAAGTTAAACCAGCAGTGAACTGGTCTAACTGGAGAATGCCGTACTCGAGAGGCAGTGCTTTGTCTGGGCTGGCACCTAAGGAGAAGCAGCACAACCCACCTTGCAGTTTAAAGTGTATTTAGCCTATGTAAGCTTTCTAGTCTTGAAATTACCCTTTAGGAATGTATCAGTTTTCTCCTTATACACTGTCATCTTAGGATGCCTCAGTCTGAGACCACCAGGAAGGACCCACCAGCACAAGAAGGTTGAGGGAATTTGGTGGATATTTCTGCAGAAATGAAGGTTAGAAAGATAAGGAAAAAAAATACTGAAATATTCACAAGTGCCCTAGATAAGATTGTTTCATGTCTGAGGACATGTTGAATCCTGTGGGAATGAGGAAGTTAAGCTACTAAAAAGTTGGATTGAAATCTTATGTTTCACACTGAATCAACTTGATATTAGGTATCAAAGTGGTATTAGTGGAATTTGTAAGAATGTGAGTAGTTTATATAAAGAACATAGGAATAAAGTAAGTTAGTCCAAAACAAATCTTCTGCTGTGTCAGAGCCGAGTGGAGAATGAACATTGGAGGCTTAACGTGAGCGTAATAAATCAAAATGCCAGATGGGCCTCGGAGGACTTCCTTCATTCACTTCATTGTTTTCTCTGCAGATACAGCATGGTTCAGCCAAGTGCAGGGTTGTCGTTCTTCTGATGTTCAGAGTGTTTCAGAGGGTTCTTGAAGACCAAGCTCTTGCCTGTGTATTAATTTAAACTGCCAACTTCATCGTTCGGTGTTTGGTGCACTGAGTACTTTTACATGCGGAGATCACAGAGTGTGTTGGCAGTTTTGGGTGGGTAGTATGTTTTGGCCTAATGTAGGTTATGGTAACCTACAGCAAAGGCTCATATTTGTACCTTCTGGAAGGTACCATTTCCCAAAGCTGATGCTTGGCAACAGAAGATGCCATCCTGACCCTCTGCAGCTTCGCAGAAAATGCTCCATAGTGCTTGAGCTTCCTAAGTATGTATCCCAGGGTACAGACTGCTTAGGGCTGCTGGCACAGAGTAGCTTCTCTTTTTTTAACCTTTTTAATCTCCTTTCCCTGCGTGCTCAGTACCAGGTGAACAGAACAGTAAAATAGAGGGCAGAGTTATTTGGTAAGGTAGATATTGGAAAGAAAAAGGTAAAAGTAGAACGGATTGGAAACTGTTCTTGTTTAAGCAAATGGTGACCTGTTGAGCTGCTGTTACTGGAATTTCTAAGGAAGGGCTCAGCTGTTGGACCTGGAGATTCAGTACTCACAGCAGTACTCTGGCATCACTGTTAGCTTCGATTTCACATTTAAACCTAAAATTGCTGTGAGTTTTCCATCACATCCTCCTTTCTTTTGCGCCCTGACTGGGGCATGAAAGCTGTATGTTGTTTGTGGCATCCGTACTCATTCTGCCGGCTGATTGGCCCATGTTTGATAGGCATCATTATTTTAACATTCATTCTTACAACATACTTGGTGTATGTTGTAACTGTAATGTAACTTTTGGTGTAATGTGTATTGTTAACCTGATGTCTTCTGAGAGTATCTTTAGCTTTTTATAGAGACCACGTGATATACTATTAGCATGTTGATAAACTTTATGTGATCTGATTATATATGGATTGTGCTTATAAATAAGTATAATTTCTCATCATTGCCCCCAGCCTACTTCATTTGGAGTTTTGCTTGAATTATTCAGTGAACTTAACCAGTAAAATGTGAACTTGAGTAATCAATATTGCACTTGCTTCTAGAAGGATGTGTGAACACATTTTTGTCCATCAAATTAGGTTAAGACAAGAAATACTACAGCTAAGTTTTAATATTACTTTGGCAGGTGTGTACTTTGAAAGACAAAGGCAATGTTTTCAAGAATGCTTTTATTGATGCTGGTTCTCTGAGCTTAACTCTCTGATCTCCCTGGAGGTCAAGGACATCTTTGTTTTCACGTAGCCCTTTGCTGTGGGATAACCAAGCTGTCTGCTGACAAGATCAGGCACTTTGAGGTCACTGAAACATGGGGAATGTTCTGGTGTCAGGGATGCTAGTTCTTCTGCAGCCTGTCCCTCATCTGCCTCAAATATATCAAGGGAGTATTTCAAGGAAATATCAAGCAAAGATAAGGTGACTTCTAGAGCTTTGTGAAGATTGCGGTGCTGTATCTCTAGCCTCTGTAGCAGACTGTAACACTAAACAGAGCTTGCCATGTTCAAAACTTGAATCGTTTGTGATACAGGACATTCTTTAACAGGAAAATGTGATATTTTCCTTGCTTTAAAAGCACATTTGTCTATTTTGACTCCTCTTCTGATACTTTTAATATTATTAATTACAAAATAAATGTAGTAGTTGATATCCTTAGATACTATGTGTTTAGGCATGATTGTCATTGCATTTTTCATCTGATTTCAGCCTGTGACTTCTGTGAGTTCAAAAGCTTCGTCAAAACTTTACAGTGATTTGTTTCACATGAATATGGTGACTGCATGACTTGTCTTGATAAACACACTGCTTGGATCAGGACGTGCTAAACTGGTGGTTCAGTGAGAAGTCAGGTTATGCCAAATGTTAACTAGAAGCATTAAAATCTTAGGAAAGTGAAATGAATCTGTGTACTTAAACATACCTTGGTTCTAGCAAATGGATTGATGCTGTGATTCTGTATGTTAACATGAAGTTGCATACTACAGTATCAGGGAGAAGTACTGGTTTACTTGTTCTTTCTTACACAACACAAACGGCAGTGTGAAATTCCTTACTGTTGTAGTTAATGACACCTGATTTCTTGCTTATATGTAAATTAAGAAACAAAGACCTTTATTTACACAGCTTGAGTTGCTGTTATGTGTAGTATTACATTTCTCCTAAGAATACCAGGCAGCCCAAGAAAACCAAACCTCTGCTGCAATTAGCAAAGGCTGCTAATGATAAGGAAGAAGTTCTTTAGGGTGAGGGTGGTGAGGCACTGGAACAGGCTGCCCAAAGAAGTGGGAAGTGCTCCATCCCTGGCAGTGTTTAAGGCCAGGTTGGACAGAGCCTTGGGTGACATGGTCTAGTGTGAGTTGTCCCTGCCCATGGCAGTGGGGTTGGAACTGAATGATCCTGGATGGTCCTTTCCAACCCAAACCATTGTGTGATTCTATGAAAAGGGGAATGTTTTCCTAAATCACCTGCTTTAAGTGAAAAGGTGAATGCTGGTTTTCTGCCAGTTTACTGGTGCACTACAAATCTGTTACTCCAAAATTTTCCATAATAGTTCAGACAGTTTATAATATGCTGTTAACTGGAACTTGTGGCTGTCAGCTTCAGTCATTCCTTCACCCCTGCAGAGTCAAGTTATTTTAGCTGTCTGGTTAATCTTTGTCCTCTCAGGTCATTGGAGATCAAAGCACTTCAGTGTACAGGTTATTGAGAACTCTGTGAACAGGTTTCCTGTCTTTTAAGCTACTGCTTTAAGCTGGAGAATATAATTTAGTTGAAGAGTTTTACTTTTCAATAGTATTGTAGTTAAGTTGGAAGTTGAAAGATGAAATGTGAGATTTCATTTGCATACACAGCTTGACAGATATTGCCAACTATGATCCGCTCTTGCATTTATATGGAGCCTAAGGCAGATGAGCCTATGGCAGCTGACACTTTGTGGCTTTGTGGAAGAGAGCTGAGTTTTGGGCTGTTGTTGGTGCTTGAGTTATTTTAAACAGTGGCTGGAAGCCTGTATCTGCAGCATTTCCTGCAGTGGACCTTCACAGGTCCCGTTGTACAGGTTAACTTTTAACTACTTTCACAGAGCATTTGTTCTAGAAACGTGATGCCTGATGCTTATTACCCCAGTACCAGTAACATTTTAATTCTTCACATTCAAAGACTATTACAAACTGCACATGAAATTGAGCATTTCTTTAATTGAATTGATTCCTTAGAGAAATTTCTTGACATTTTTACAGCGTTTCTGTTGTGCTGATGTGGCTCCCATTGACCTCTACTTGAGATCCAACAGATCTGCAAAACTGAGCATTTGCAATTGGTCACTCAGATGATGATGAGTAGAAGTAATGGGTGGATGTAAAAAGTGCTTTCAGTGGCTTGTCCCACACTTGCAGGTGAACAGTGTAGAGGAGGTTGAGGACTCAACTTATAAATCAGCTAATCTCCAAACACATTGAGAGTTTTCCTCAGTTAGCTATCCTGGTTTCTTTGGCTTCTGCAAAAGCAATTGAAGCAGATGATGGCTGTGAATGACACCTTTCAGTTTGTTCAACAGGTGAAATAAGTGTTAAGGACTGTAACATCCCGGTTCAGACCTCTTTTGGGGAACAAGATCCAGTTTATGAAGGGAACATGGCAGGATTCCTAGGAAGAGCTGTGTGTTTGCTTATGTTTTATTTTTGTAGACATTATATTTCATATGTAAATATGTTGAAATGAGGTGGGCAGCTGTAATTTGGGTGTTTGGCTAATTTGTTTTGGGGAGATTGTCTTTAATGAGATTTTATTTTGGGCTGTCATAAAGCTCACTTTACAATCCTGATAAAATCAAATTTGCAATGCAGAAACTCCAAACTTAATGATGGGTTTGTGTGGGAGCTTGGCTTGCATCACTCATGCAAACTGCTCTGCAGAGCTGTACCCTTGACCTAAAGAAGTTACTAATGCTCATGTGTTAGTAGGCGGCCAGCCACCAAAGCAGGCTTGAACCACATCCTTGGTTAGAGGTTTTCACAAGTATTTGTCAGGAATATCAGTGTTCAGACATGTCTTATACTGGCAAAGTTTTCAGAGTAGGTTTTGCCTGAGGTGCTTTTGATGCTTCTGACTCCTCGGAACATTTTAGTTGACTCCTGCATTGTTCTTGTTTGTCTTTGCCTTTCTCCCAGGTCAGGATGCTGCCTGGACCACTCTGTAACGTCAGCATACCAGCAGGTGGAGCGTTGGTAAGAGAGCAGACTGTCAAGTCCCTCCAGCATTTAAGAATTGCCACCCAAGTCCTGCTGAGCTGATTGCCATGGAGGTGGGGGTCTGCTGACTGCGTTTGGCATGGAAGTCTGAGGGTATTGCTCCATCTTAACGTGCAGTGTTAACAAGAAATGCCAAAGGATAGCTTCAGACATGCAGTTGGTGTGAACTTTGCAGAGAGTGGAAGGCATCTTGGTGTTCCTCTGCTGGTTTATCCAAATGCCAGTTTTTTGCAAGGCATGGAAGTATTGAAGCTGATCTGGATTAGTTATAAAGTTGATACTCGCTTTAAGGGAGCATGGTTGTGCCAAATTCCTTTTCTTTGCTGGTTCTTTACTGTGTCTTTGAGATATGCACCTTGCTTACGTTACTGTTTCTGCTCAAAGCATTGATACCAGAGGTCTTAAGTATTGCTATCTTCTTCTTTTTCTTGGGGGATGGTGGAGAAAGGTTCCTGTTGTGGTTAAGCGATTGGCCTATATTGGTTTAACACTACATAGCCACCAAAGCAAGCAGTCCTCCCCTATACAACACCTTCTTCCTGAGTCCTAAGGATTGTAGTGCTGTCCAGTGACTGAGATAAGCTACCTGCTATAGGAAAAAGATGATGTGTTTTCCTTTTCTTTTCCAGGATTATTTTGTAGCTGATACACTGCTTGTCCAAGTAACTGGCACCATGAACCATGGCATTATAAAATCCCTGTAACAACGGAGGAAGTTGGACTCCCTCAGCTGGAAGCCAGGAAGCACAGGACTGTACTTCTGCCTCAGTGCTCTTACTGTGTTCGGTGTAAACCATCCCGAAAGTACACTCTCAGTCAGGCTCTGTAATGTGAGTATTCTCTTCATGTTGTTGGAATGGTTGTTGTGTAACATCCTCCCTCCTTAAGATAATTACAAAGCAACCCTAAACTGCACTGAGTGATGTTCTTACTGCACAGTTGTTTTCTATTTGAGGTGTGACAAAGATCTCAGCTACACATAAGTGTTGCATTCATGCATTACTCTGTAGACATGCATAGGATTTAAGTGTTTAGGTTCTTTGCCTTAACATGCAGCTAATGAAAATTGCTTCAGATTAATTTTGGAGTAACTGTGTTATCTCCAGAATGCCTGTCACTATAGGCTGCATAGGAACATTCTTTCCTGCTGGACATGCCAATCAGCTTCCTTTGGGTGAAACCAAATTCAAAGCTATGCTTCTGGACTTGGCTAATGTTTTTTGTTTAAGGCTGTTTAGACCATAGGTAGGACCAGAGCAAGTTCTGAAGTGAGGTCATGTGGAATATATGTAGCTTGAATATTGTCTTCATAAACTGTTTGTTTTGCTGATCTCCTCCTCTTGCAGTACAATACCTGCTAATGTGAGTGTAGGTTTTGTTGTTTGATTTTTATTTTAGATGCATACATGGGCTAATAAAAGAAACACACCAGTTAATGCAAGGAAGAGAGTTCATTTTAGCTACAGGTCTTACTGATCAAGTGCCTCTCAATCTTGTTTTGAAGCTTGGTGACAGCGTGAGATAACTGAAGATTCACAGGCCCAAAGAACCCAAAAAGCAGGATTATAGTGTCAAGTAATGACCTAGGTTTCCCCTTCGCCAAGCTCTTTTGTCTGTTGCATTGAATAGTTGCTTCATCTCTGTGGCCCTAGGAGTGAGTAGTAGGAACCAGTCCTTCTCCTCCTAAATTACTTCTAAACTGTTTATTGTAATTGCTTTAATTCTGATTATCCCTAAAGCTCAGCTTTTATAGTGCACCTAAAGAAAAGTTTGGTCACACTGTCCATCTTCTGTATTTAGTTTATTCTGATTTGAAAACCAAGATTTGATACTGGTAGGAAACAAAATGGAGCCTAGTGAAGGACAAATAGCCATTTAAGCTGTAGTGTTGTTAAACGTGAGGCATCCTGTGTGCTGCTTGAGTGACATTTAAAACACTTCAGAATTGTTTTGGGGGAAATATTCTGCCTTTTTCAACTCCGAGGGAGCTTCTACAAGCAAACTAAGTGCCAATAGCTTTCACATTGCCTGTTCTTAAAGATACAGCATAAAATGTTCCTCTTGAAGGGGTGTTTTTCCTGACAGCACAGGTGCCCATAGGATGGTGTTTGGCAGCACATTTAACTTCTTAAATGTGGCTTAGGCAGGAGAGTTCTGGTTTCACTCTAGGTGTTTGGGGTTGGTTGGGGTTTTTTTAAGTATTTGGCAGCAGCTGATTAAAATACTTTTAACATTAAATATTTGTGATTTCAGAACTTGCTGGAGCTGCCAGCACTGCAGTATATTGATAATACCTGGCTATTTATAGTAAAGTCTGCACTGATGTCATCTGTGGATAATTCCTTTTCCAAAGACTTACTGACTTCATGTCTGAGGGTAATTCTGTAAACAAGGCTGTAGGTGCTGGAAGCATATCACAGGAGTTATGAGATCATGGAGCTGCAAGGATAATGGTCAGAAGAGATTTCTAGAAGTCTCTGGTCCAACCACTTGTTCAAAGCAGGGCTCTGAGTGGTGGTCTCAGCCATGGCTCTGTCCTATGAAGCCATGAGAACTGCCAAGGACAGGGAATCCACTGCCTCTCTGGGAAGCCTTTTCTGGGCTTCACCAGCCTCCTGGTGAACAAGTTTGTCCTTGTGTCCAACCTGCATTTTCTGTGCTGCCTTTTGTGGCCATTGCTCTGTCTTACCCTGTCAGCCAGTGCTGAGAGAGTTTGTCTTGACTGTCTTTAGAGGTCCCATCTTGTAGCTGTAGACAGGTCTTAGATGGTCTCTTTGCCAGACGAAACAGGCGTGTCTCCCTTCAGTTTTGCCTGTGCCCTTGAGGCTCTTGACCACTGTGGTAGCGCAGGGCTGGACCCTTCTTGGTTCCTCAGCATCCTGTTGAAGTGAGGGTCCTCACATGAGCATTCAGCATCCCTTCCTTGTAGTCCTCTTTGCAGTTTGCCTTCTGCAGCGAGATGTTGGCTCCTGTTTCAGCTGCCTTCTGCCCCAGCACCTAGTCCCTTTGCAGCAGGGCTGTTACTCAGCTCTCCCCAGCCCATGCTGATGCATGGGGCTCTTCTGCCTTGGGTGCACAGCTCTGTGCTTTCCCCTCTTGAACCCAGTGAGGTTTCTTTGGGCCCATCCTCAGGTTTATCACGGTCTGTCTCTGTTGGTAGAACTGCTGCCATTCACAGCGTCAGCCTCCTTCTCTGCCCTCTGCACTTTACTGTCACCTGTTTCTGACGGTGCTCTCTGTGTTGTCATCCTGGCTGCTGCTGAGTGTTTGGAGCCCTGTGCTGGCCCCTGGGGTCCTAGACATGAGTCTAGTGGGGTTTGTGCTTGTCAGGAACCTTCTGTGAATGCCATGATGTTTTTTTCTAGTTACTGTTAATTTCTGTGTAGAGCACAGCAAAAGAAGACTAATATGGTAGTTGGTAAGTGCATTTGGTAGGGTCATAGAATGTTTGAGTTGGAAAGGACCTTAAGATCATCCAGTTCCAACCCCCTGCCATGGGCAGGGACACCTCATACTAAACCATGTCACCCAAGCCTCTGCCCAGCCTGGCCTTCCTTGGACACCGCCAGGGATGGAGCATTCACCACTTCTTTGGGCAGCCTGTTCCAGTGCCTCACCACCCTCACAGTAAAGAACTTCTGCATTATATCTAACCGGAGCTTCCCCTATTTCAGTTTGAACCCATCACCCCTTGTGCTATCACTACAATCCCTGATGAAGAGTCCCTCTCCAGCATAGTTGTAGGTCCCCTTCAGACTCCATGCAGCCTCCAGCCAGGTGGTTGGTAAGCAAAACTTTTAACAGTCACTATGAAAATCAAAGACTATTGTCATGATTTAGAGAGAAAATTCTTGCTAAACTTCACTCCTGTTCTCCCTCCAAACACTTGAGTGGCTCCTCTTCTTAGTGTAGTGCAGTAACTAAGCTCTAAATGTGACATTGCACAAGTAAGCAGCATGACTCATATTTGTCAAGATTCACTCCTGGTGTACTTGCAGACTAGGAAAGTCTATTTTAGTTCTTGTTGTGTTGTGAGTTATTGAAGGAGGTGGCTCGATTCTAGAGGAGATGGTGTTTGAGAGAGAGGCTGTGGAAGTAGTAATTTTGTAAGTATACTTGTCAGATCCTGTGCAAGACTGACTAGAGAGTACAGAGTAATGCTTTCCAAATGAGCTGTTTTGCCAGCACATTATGTCTGTTCCCAATTACTGTCAGTAAACCCTGAAAAGAACTTGGTGAAATCTACATCTTAAATAGAGATAATCATGTTGAGAGTATTTGAAAGGTGTTTTGCATCATGTTTTTCTATATTGTATGCTTTTTGTTTTGATTTTGAGATCCTTGATGCTGAAGTGGGTGCCGTGGCTGCACGCTGTGCTTGTCTGGACTGTTCCATTGTGGAAGCAGGCTGTGTGTGTGCACTTAAAAGAGTGGGTCTCTTGGGTATTATTGCAAAACAAATAATTAACTTATTTTGCTTTGAACTTGAAGGACAAAGATGCAAAAATCAAGTTAAAAAGTACAGAAACTTGTAAAGCCAAGTGCCACACGCTTATCTGATGTTTGCTTGGTGCTTGCTGGGCTGAGCTTGTTTTCTTTCAAGTAAAGAGCAAGGTTAGGATTGATACTGGTGTACAGCTCACGTCTCAGTCTGATATCCTTCAGGATTTATTTGCAGTGGAGGAGTTGAGCTCGCTTTATAGACCAGGGGAAATGCTGTACTCTCCCCAGAGGCTGCAGTAACAATCTCCAGACTCTGCCTACCAAAAGGAAGTGGGAGAATGCCAGGATTTCTCAGGTTTGCAACTATACCATTTGCAGTGATTGGGATACGTTCACACAGGACTACCCTTAAAATGGGAACATTTGGCTTCTATTGCCTAAAGATCTCTTGGTGCCCTTAGCAATTTCTCCAGCAATCCAGTAACATGGTGTAGACTGAACTGTTGGACTGCTGAGGGTAGCAGCCTACCCAGACCTGGCTTTGTTCAGTGAAGGGACTTTGCAGTATGAATCTCTCCTTGCAATACTCAACTCGTTTCCATCACAGTGTTACAGAGAACTATTGTTGGCAGCTGATATCACCAGAGAATTATAATTGCAAATGGGAGTAAGAAGTCATTAAGTGAAGGAGTGTGGTAAATGCGTCACTGATTCGAGTCTGTTGCACCAGACTCAAGTGGTAGCCACTCAGAACCCCAAAGAAAACACAGCCTGGCCTAACAAATGACATATTGATGTGACTTTTGGGGGTTTTATCTTATTAGTGAGATTTTTCCATTCATGCTTGGTCATAGTTGAGGCAGAAGGCATGGAAGGCCTCAACTTGCTACTGGAAAGAGTAAACACTGAATTATTTGGATTTAGGTTGAGCTCTTCTAATACTACTCAGAGAACATCTATTAAACGTGTTCTTTGTTTCAGTTTCTTGTCAAGTGTTGGGCTTGGTTTTTGCCCTCCTGCATCAGCCTTCCACTCTTTTTAAGAGATATCATAAAATCATAAGGTGGTTTGGGTTGGAAAGGACCTTAAGATCATCTACTTTCAACCCCCCTGCCATGGGCAGGGACACCTCACACCAGACTATGTCACACCAGACCATGTCCATCCTGGCCTTGAACACTGCTGGGAATGGAGCATTTACTACTTCTCTGGGCAGCCTATTCCAGTGCCTCACCACCCTCACAGTAAAGAACTTCTTCCTTAGAACTAACCTGAACTTCCCCTGTGTAAGTTTGATCCCCTCACCCCTTGTCCTGATCAGATCAGTTACTGTATTTTCAGTCGTGTGAACTTTGTGTTTTTCAGATTGGAGGATCTCCAGAATCTTAAAAAATGCCTTTATGAAGATGGAGCTCATTTTCTACAGACAGCTTTGTCATCTTGGACTGGAGATTGAGGTTACCTTGACAGAAGAAAGTATGGACCCAGCTTAGGAATTGGAAGGCTTTTCAGAATAACAAGGAGACATGTAGAGGTAGCCAAAAAATATTTACAGTAACTTGTTTTAATAGCTTGTAATTAAGTATCTCCAAAGGATATTCGATTATAGAGATTTAGCAGGTTTAAGATGCAACTCATTATTGCTGTGCACAGTATAGTTCTAATTTCATAATTTCAGCTATTTACCTTTCTCTTTTGGTCCTTCTTACAAAAAAAGGAATTTTTGCATCATTCAGGATAAAGATCTACACTGAAAGCAGGTTTTATCTGGGGATAGTTTCTTGGAGATAGAATAAAACCACTGTGAAGTGGTTTGGATTGGAAGGGACCTTAAAGCTCATCCCATTCCAACCCCCTGCCATGAGCAGGGACACCTTCCACTAGAGCAGGTTGCTCCAAGTCCCGTCCAACCTGGCCTTGAACACTGCCAGGGATGGGGCAGCCACAGCTTCTTTGGGCAGCCTGTGCCAGTGCCTCAGCACCCTCACAGAGAAGAACAACTGCCTTTTATCTAATCTAAATCTTCTCTCTTTCAGTTTAAAGCCATTCCTTCTTGTCCTATCCCTACGTGTCCCTGTAAAAAGCCCCTCACCACATTTCTTGTAGGCCCTGTTAGGCACTGGGAGATGCTCTAAGGTCTCCCCTTAAGGAGCCTTTTCTTCTCCAGGCTGAACAAGCCCAACTCTCTCAGTCTATCTCCATAGTAGAGGTGCTCCGGCCCTCTGATCATCTTTGTGGTATCCTCTGGTCTTGTACAAGCAGGTACACATCCTTCTTAGCTTGGAGGGCCCAGAGTTACATTAAATTCAATCTCTTCTGTTGCTTTAGAATTCACAGGCAGGTTTAAAAACTCCTTTTACCTGTTGCGCTAAAGTTGCTGGTTGTGCTGTGTATGTGTTAGTGATACAGAGAAGCAGAGTGTCCTTCCTTAACATACCCAGGAAATGCAGTGATAAAACCACTGATGTACGCTTCCTCCTCCATCATCATTCATTTGCATTGTTAACTTCCAGTGCTGCAGTGTTGCAGTCTGGGTATTTGAAGCTCACCACAACATAGAGTCAATATTCAAAGCAGTAACACATGTGAAATCACTGCGTGACTTAAGTGCTGTTGGAGATGATGTGGGTTGGATTACGTATGAGCTGTGAGATATGGTCCTTAAAATGTAAAGTTGATTCAGGCACACTCTGCCCCACGGCAAATAGCTTATTTTGTTCTTTGTGATCTCTGAGAAAGTGGAATAAAAGTACTTACGAATGATAAGGGTAGTTAAAAATGTATAAAAATGGTGAAAGCTGAAGCACTTGATATTTCAGTGTTGAATGAATTTCTTGGAACGTTTAGTTTAGAAATAAACTGTCTGGAGAACAGAAGTTGTTCTCTGCTCCCCAGCCCGTATCTTCCACCAAAGTAGAAGGGGTCAGGGGAAGGACCTCGGTACAAAATCTGTTCTGGCTGCTTAACTATAGTATCAAAGTAATGGAACTGTATAACTAGTTTGGTATAATTACATTACTGTAAGGTAAAAAGGGGAAGAATCCATTAAAAACAAACGTCTGGATTTGTATCAAGGTTTTTATACTTAGGAGGAGTTTGGGGGAGGGAGAAAAGAGCAGAGTGAGAGCACATCAATTCACGTAGCATTAGTCTTTAAACAGACTATTGTATGCTATCATATCTAAACATCTATTTAAGTACTAGAAAGCTGGTGAAGGCTGGTTGTTGACTTCCATTGGGAAGTTCTTCCTGCTACTTTGGGAATCTGTGCACTTCAATCCTTTTATATTTAGGATTTAATGTTTAATTTTCAATTCTTTTCTGGTCAATAATGTAGGACTTAAAAAAATTCATAGCAACAGTGAGCATCTGTCTTCCTCTGTCAGTTCCAGTTGCTTTTTTGCTTGCATCAGGCATCTGTGGCTCAACTGCTTTGACTGATGGATGGACTGATTGACAAGACCTTGACTCCAAGCACGTGCACATGAGGTGCATGCAGAGGCAGACTCCTTTGACTCCATTTACATTTAACTATTACTGTGTGACAGCTGAAGCTTCAAAATCATAGAATCACAGACTGGTTTGGATTGGAAGGGACCTTAAACCTCATTCAGTTCCAGCCCCCTGCCATGAGCAGGGACACCTTCCACTAGAGCAGGTTGCTTCAAGCCCCATCCGACCTGGCCTTGAACACTGCCAGGGATGGGGCAGCCACAGCTTCTCTGGGCACGCTGTGCCAGCACCTCGGCACCCTCACAGGGAAGAACTTCTTCCTGATGTCCAATTTAAATTTACCCTCTTTGTTTTCTTTTAAAGCCATTCCCCCTTGCCCTGACCCTACATACCCCTATAAAAAGTCCATCACCACATTTCTTGTAGGCCCCCTTTAGGTACTGGAAGATGCTCTAAAGTCTCCTGTAAGCCTTCTCCAGGGTGAACAAATGCAGCTCTCTCAGTCTGTCTTCATATGGGAGGTGCTCAAGCCCTTGAAGCATCCTCATGGCCTCCTCTGGACTTGTTCCAACAGTTCCATGTCCTTCTTATGTTGAGGATACCAGAACTGCACACAGTGCTCCTAGTGGGATCTCACAAGAGCAGAGTAGAGGGGTAGGATCACTCCTTTGACTTGCTGGTCACACTCAGTGTCCTGGGATGCATCAAAAGGTTGTGTTTTGGGCTCAAGTGAACACTGAAGTTGGCTCATGTTCAGTTTCTCATCTACCAACACCCCCAAGTCCTTCTCTGCAGGGCTGCTCTTGGAGTCAGTGAGTTGTAATGGTCAAGCTTGTGGTGGACAGAGGATGTCTTAAGATGAGGGGAGAAGAGAAAGAAACAGTTTGGCTGCTTGCCTCCTCACTCTCTTCCTTTCTCCTTCCTCCCCTGATTTGTCTTGTTGAACTCTGCTCCATGTGCTTGTGGAAGGTGCAGTAAAAGTTGTATGTGACCAGTAAAATGATGCTTGAGGGAATATTGCAGTAAATCTCTGTGGCTTTGATTTGGAATTTGCAGATGAACACAACCTTAAGATTTCATTACAGTGTCCCTTTCTCAGCTTTAAAACTCTTCTGTTCTTCTGGAGTATTGACAGCTGAAGGAACAGCTCCTGGGTGGGTCATCATACGTTGCTCTTGGAAAATGACAAATAGGAACATTTTCTGTGTCAGAAGGACTTTAGGTAATCTTAGAGTTCCTTCATATTCTGTGGGTGGAGTTGGGGGGGGATTTCATGCTTCAAAGAATGGAATCTTTATTGCTCTTAAGAAAAACAGTTAAGGCATTAGAAGCCAGCACTCAATATTCCTGTTTGTGATGATGTTAGGATAACTCCTATTTTCAGTGCTTTCAAGCTTTACAGAAATGAGAGGGCAGTGACTTGAACAAAGGCAGGAGATGCTGCCTGCTTATGTTGAAAAGGTGGTAAAATAGCTGAAGATGCTTCTTAATAAATACACAGCTTCGATTTTAACAGGCCTCTTATAGAAGTTGTATCTTTCAAGCATGTAGTTGTACAAAGTGATCTGTAATGGCTCTGCCTTTAAGACCACACTTGGAACTGAAAATTTCAACTCCTTTGACAGAAGTGGAATCACTGTGTAAGATGCTCTGTATTTGTAGGTAACATTTCGATAAAGCAGAAAGAGATTTCGTTGTCATGTATTGCCTATTTTGTGATGATTTACGTGTTAAAAGGAGGCTGTGGAGAGTTTATTTTCTTTGGGCAGATGACATTGAAGTAACCTTCATTATTCCTTAAGAAGTAAGTGTTAAAGGAAAGCAGTATAAGAAATGGTTCATTGCAACTTAATGCTCAGCAGCCTAATTAGTCAAATACCATGTGCCTACCTCTGCATGAAACAGCCTATTTCTGTCCAATGTCAAATAGGAATTTCCAGGTTTGGAGCAGCCTGAAGAGGCCTTTGTTGCAAATGACCACTGGCTTTTTAACTGTTTATTCCCAGAACTAATGAAGGTCAGTGTGGTATCCATAGTGACTGCATGCAGGTCCCTCCTTAATCTCTGTATGCTGCTGTGACAACAAGTCAGTTACTACCGACAAGCTCTCGTTTTGAGAAGAAATGTTTATCTCAAAACGGGATGTGAATGGGTTTCTGTAACAGAAATCCTGAATAATGTCATCTTTCTCCACTTTTAAACTCCTTGTCTTAGATTCTTCTTTTATGAATTGCGTGAACAGACCTACCCCCTCACACACCCTTCCCTGGAACAAGCAACCTTAAATTGCATTTAACCTGGCAATAAAAAACTCTTTACATGCAAAATTCTTCCCTTTTTGAAGGGATAAAGCCTGCTAAATGGGAATACATCAACTGCTTTCAGCTCTGTTAGTAAAAGGAAAATGTTGCACTATAAACTACAAAATGAAGGCATATAAGTATTATGTGAACGTGATCAACTCACAAATCAAATGAAAGATGGGGGAGACTTGAACAACAGCAGGAGCAGTGCAGGAGGCCTTTGAATTTTGGCTTTTGGATTACTTCTGTGCACAGCAGTGTGGAATTTGTGCATAACTTAGGGAAATGCACTTCATGAGTTACTTTGGTTTAAATTATTTCCCCACTTAAGTGTTATAAATATCAACTATTAATAATATCAAGGTTCTTTTAACTTGGAGGAAGTAGCTTGTTGCAGAACAGGATGCAGTCTCGTGGGTGTTCTGACAGGATCTTGTTGAAGATGGGGGAGTAAAATGGTTCCATCCTGATGTTGTTGTGGTTTTCCCTCCCACCCTGTCACTCTCCTTTAGTATATACTTGTATACTAAAGTATATACCCAAAGAGAAGTGGCTGTATTCCTTGGCTGTAAGAGAGCTTTAAACTGATGAGGTAGGATTCTGACACTGAAAGTAAATACCTTCAGAAATCTGTCAAATTTCTGTTTCTGATACACACATATATATATGATATATAAATAAATAACTTTATTATGCACATGGCTTGTTTTGCTTCTGTCTTTAACTTTGCATATAGCTTTATTAAATAATATCAATGATTCTGAAAGGATGGCTATTTGTAGAGTTCAGGTAATGTTCAAAGTGGAAGTCCACTTATTTCTGAGAGCTCCAGGAATGCGGGTATTATAGGGAAGTGAAGTCAATGGATCAGTGAAAAAACTCACTACTATTTTTATATTTTAATGTATAATGGAAATTCATATTAATGAATAAATATATAATAATAGAAATATAAGCCTAAAGATATCTTAATATATGTTTAAAATCTGAGCATTTGTATTCTAGGTGTTGCACTTAGAAACTTTGTTAATCTAATGAGACTTTAGAACTGTGTTACTGAATGTGAAAATAAGGTTTTCTTCAGCGTTAGCTGGACAGTGATTGTTGGAATATTCTGGAAGCACAGCTTAAGTCTTCTCTTCCTTTCTCTCCCCTCCTCTAAAGGTGACAGCTGCTCTGCACTGCTGGATGGCTGCTGTGGTGTGTAGTAGCCTGGTGTTGTAAACATCCCCGACTGGAAGCTGTACCAGCTCTAGCTTTCAGTCAGATGTTTGCTGCACCTGGCTATTCCTGGGCAACGTTAGAAGGAAAACCTGTCAGGAATACCTGTGTGCACATACATATATATCCAACGCTGTTTCTATGGACACAGTTGAATTGCCTTCACATGAATCATGATTCTGTGCATTAACCGGATTGTTATTAATAGTGTAGGTGTGATTTGTTGAAACCTGGAGATACAAAGCTGCTGTCTGTGTGTCACTCAGAACAGTTCTTCACTGCACTATGAGATGAGCTTCGCTGAGACATAACGGGAAGTGGTGGTTCATTTCTTGTACAGTTATCCGTAAACTTGCTTTATGAATTGTCTGTCTTAGCTTCTGTTAAATTTCCTCTCAGGACAAATTGTTAGGAATGCTGTCAGACACTTAAGCAGGCATTTTACCTCAGATGCCTTAGGTTTTGTTGTTAGGGTTTTTCCTGGAATTCCACATTCTGAGTCTCCTTATGACTGGGTGAGTCTCATTGTTTGTGAGCTGGATGTAACCCAAGGCCAAAATGAAGGTTAAAACCTGACAGCACAGTATGTATTTTTGCACTGACAGTACATAGGGTAAACTGTTTTGCCATATGGTCATCTTGGCCTGTGCTGCCCCCATCCATGTCACTGTGAAGGTTTACTTGTCAGATAAATAACAGCTCTTGAAAGCACTTCTCCAGAACTAACTCTTCAATGATTCCAAACCAGCCTAAAGTAATAATGTCAAGGATACAGATACTTAGAAAAGTGAAAGATTTTCTCTTTGATTTATCAGAATTAGAATTCTTTGGAGTTCTTAGCCCTGGGAAAGCAGTCAGTGAATGACCAGATCTCAACCAAGGACAGCCATATAGTACAAAATGTAGTTTGTTTCTGAAATCTGGGTGTCCTGTCTGGTGCCATAGAATATGTGTGGTGACAGAAGGTGGTAAACTTACTGATGAATTCATTGCTAGTATCTCTGCAGAGATTTGTCTTTAATGCAGCTTGCAACTTAATACAGGCTCAGTTAAAATCACATTTTAGATACGATCTGTTTGGTTTGATGTCATGTAGATGTATTTATAAAAAGGACTTTGAAGCAGAATCTACAGATCTTGATTTCTTTTACAAAAGAAATAAAAGTGCTGGTAGTTGTTTTCCAAGCTTTCCTTGCTGTAAATATTTAGCATTCCGAGTTCTGTATAGTACTTGGTCTTAGAAGAAAGGAAGCATTCTCTGTTAACAAACTTCTCTGATCAAAGTAAACATGTTATCTCATGATGAATCTAGTAGCCATTTTTGTCAGTGCTGTCTTGGCCTTTCCACATGCCAGCTAACTCTGTTTTTTAAGCTTGGTTCACGTGCAGTCTGTCAGTACAGTCCTGTGGAATTTTACTACTGTGTACGTTTATGTTGTACTAGAACCTAATACATGTACTCAGCCACGTCTGCACATGGAAACAAATGGAAGTGGCTTATACGTATCTGCAGGAAATAAAGAGATGTAAAAACCAACACTGCCTTCTTGTTTGAGGTTTTTTTTTGTCAAGTATTTGAAATACAAGGATCTCTCTTTTTCTGTACATGAAATAGAAGTACTGAACGTGTCTCACACATGGCTGTTGTTTGCAGCTGAAGAAGGTGGGTCTCTTAAAGCATTGCTCAAGTGCATGTTTATGTCGTAATTCCAGGTGAGCTCACATTTGGGATTGATGGAGGGGACAACAGGAATTTGGCACACTAGTGCTGTTCTGGTGGGGAGGAGGAGCTGGAGTAGCACAGAACTGGGCAGCTGTAAGTGTAACGGTCAATTTGGGAATGGAAGAGGCAGATTTGACACATCACTGGTGATCAGAAGTTCCTTGTCTTGTTAACCTGATGAAGCCTGTGCCTGTTCCTCACATTAGAGTCCTGGATCAGTTTCTGATGTTGTTGCAATGCACTGATTTCAAAGCAGAGCAAAATTCCTGAAGGAAAACAGGGTTGGTGGTGCAGAGGCCCAGGAATTGTGGTGGGCACACAGGTAGTTACTAACTGGATGGCTGTTGCATGCTGTCTACACAGGTACAACCTACAGTTACCTTGGCAAATGGAAGGAGTACTAGGGATCCTAGTCCCCTCCATACTAGGGAGGAGTACAGAGGTTCTCACTTGCTGAGCCAGTGCCATGCCTGTGAAGAGCAGGGTTTGGGGTCTGGAGTGGTTTCCCTATGGAAACAGGCCCCTGTGGGGCCTGTGGTTTCCCTCTAAGTGGCTTTTTATGTCCTCTCGAAAGCAATGCATCAAAGTCCTCGATGCCTTCCTCGTGGCCTCTGAAGCCCTGATCCCCTTCTGTGAACCCACAGCTGTGTGCAGCAGAGATGGTTGAGCTCATGTTTTCTGCATACAAAGAACAACTGTTCAACATTCAGAGGCTTCCCCCCTCCTCTGCCCATGAAGTAATCACCATCTGTGGTTCCTGCTCCCCAGAAACGCTGCACAGCACCTGTGCAGACAAGAGCTTTGTGAAGGCTGAGGCCACGTGAGTTCATTGAAGTGTTCTGTCGTGGATTCCTAAGATCTTGTTTGAGGCTGAACATTCATTTAAATATACCTGAGCAATCTTAAGATGTTGAAGCTGAACGAACTTGTCTCTTGCTGTTGTAATGACTTGTGTTGCTGAGTAGCTAAATCCATGTGGAGGAAAATTAGAAAGAAATAATAGGGATACCTTGCAAATGTTCTGGAGGAGGAGTGGGAATTTAGTGTAAGAAAACACAACCAAATGTAGCAACAAGAACCGTGGAATTCAGCATATGAAGGAAACCTGAAATGTTCGCCATCATTGAGATTTATTTCTGCATATGAAGTTTGAGGTGGACATCTGAGGACTTACCCAGATCTCCCAGATGCATTCTGGTTTGAGTTCCAGTTATGATTTGGAGATTCCTGGAAGGTGTCTACTTGGAGCATCAAGGGCCTTGGCAGGGAAGTGCAACAGAATGCTGCTGTCCATGGGCTGTGAGAAGCAAGCTCCTGTTTTCCTTCTGGTATCACTGCAGCATTAGAGGCTGTTCACAGTCTTACTGTGTTCTGATATTCAAAAGGTTAAAAGTATGTTCCAACTTCCTAGGGCTCGTAAGGCTCAATGAGTGTTGCACGTGCCTTACAAGTTGGTGCAAACTGCAGCACTGTGTTGAGGTATGTCTGTGCAGATTCATTTTTGGCTGCCTTAAAAGCCAAGGCTGTATTTATATTGTTAATTAATGTCTTAATACTCAAATTATGACTTATATTGGCTGTATACAGGTATATTTATTGTGCAGCTGTCTTTAACTGATGAAATCTTTCTAATTGCAAATTGTGATAATATGTCTTAGCTTGGAAAGTAACTTCTGATACCCTGATGCCAGAGAAATAATCTGTAATCTTATACAGAATATTCAGTTCTCAATTGCAGCAGTGATTTATTGCTTGGTACCTACTTGCTCATTGTTAAAGAGAAATAGATATATTGTGTAATGCTAAAAATAACCCAGCAGCAACAAACCAACAGATCATTAAAGTTGCCCTTTATATCGAACAAACTGAGAAACATCTGGGAAAACGAACAGGAGAACAAGGAAGGAGATGAGCATAGAATCATAGAATGGTTTGGGTTGGAAAGGATCTTAAGATCGTCCAGTTCCAACCCCCTGCCATGGGCAGGGACACCTCACACTAAACCAGGCTCTGTTCAGCCTGGCCTTGAACACCACCAGGAATGGAGCATTTACCACTTGTTTGGGCAGCCTGTACCCCCAAGGGCTCAGGACCCAACTTCCAGCCTTTGCACCCACCGAACACCCCTGTGTATGTGGGAGCTCTCCTGGGATCTGTCTGTGGGAAGAAGCTTCTGTGGGCTTTCCTCAGGGCTTTCTCAGGGTGGGTGGACCTGACACACATTGTGCTGTAGATGATTAAAGAGATTAAGTCCTAATCCCATGGCACCAGTGACAGCATAAACCAGTTCTAGCCATCTTAGTTGATGTTTTTTAGGGGTTCTGTGTATGTGCTGAATAAGGGCATAGTTAAAACCACTTAAAACTTCCACAACATTCTATAGTAGTTGAGTTTGAATAGGAAGGACTCAAGTGATGCTGGAGTCTGTTCACCCAGTTCAGGAACATGGACATTTGGGGTTTACCAATGAGGGAAGAGTAGCCCCTGCACGTGTCCTTGAAGGAGAGGAAAGCCCAACCCATGGATGCCGCATGGGATGAAGGAAATGCAGTTTATGTCAGTCTGGATCGCTGGCTGGCTGATAACATCTCTTTCTCAGCAGAGGAATAATTTCCTCTAAACAACATGGCTTTATCTTAAAAATCTGCCATCTTAATAAAGCGAAAAATGATCTTTCCAAACTTTACACAAGCCTTATCGTTTTCTGACAGGAAAATGGGAGGTGGCAGGGATGAAAGATGCTCTGTGAACCGAACTGTGTTACTGAAGGTTATGGAAAACATGCTGAAAATGTGTACATGAAGTGCAGAGCTCAATGCATTTATTTAACACAGACATTTCCCCAAATATTAATAAATCAGCTGAACTGACTAACCAGTTAAACTGACTTTCTACTAATCTGGTAGGGAATGTGTTCTATTAATGATTTTAAGGTGTTTCACAATTAAAGTCTAAGGAATTTGTAAGTCAGCAATGTCTCCTTAACCTGGATTCCAATTTAGTAGTAAGAGTCAACAGGAATCATAGAATCATGGAATAGTTTGGGTTGTAAAGGACCTTAACATCATTCAGTTCCACCCCCCTGCCATGGGCAGGGACCCCTCACACTAAACCATGTTACCCAAGGCTCTGTTCAACCTGGCCTTGAACACCGCCAGGAATGGAGCATTCACAACTTCTGTGGGCAGCCCATTCCAGTGCCTCATCACCCTAACAGTAAAGAATTTCCTCCTTACATCTAATCTAGACTTCCCCTGTTTCAGTTTGAACCCATTACCCCCTTGTCCTATCACTACAGTCGCTAAGGAAGAGTCCCTCCCCAGCATCCTTATATGCCCTCTTCAGATACTGAAGGGGGGTTATGTTATAATATATAGGGGAGAATGTTATAGCTTCTGTTTCCTACCTGCAGAGGAGATGGAATGTGTACCCAGGAATCCCCCCTCTCTGCTCATTCCTGGTGAGGGCTCCCCTGGAGTGCTGTGCCTGGTTCTGGGCTCCCTGGTACAAGAGAGATGTGGAGCTCCTGGACAAAGCCCATTGAAGGTGTGCGGGAATGATAAAGGGTCTGGAGCATCTCTCCTATGAGGAAAGGCTGAGGAAGCTGGGACTGTTCAGCCTGGAGAAGAAAAGGCTCAGTGG